CACTTACAGCTAAAGTCAAAAACCAACTTAGGAGGCAAGCGAAGGATAATTCCGGCTCTTAAAAATAAAATAAGAATGCCACGGGCCGGTCAGAACTTTTACGTCTTTATAGTGCACAGGGCAAAGAACTCTAACGCGAAAAGCTAAGTAACAAATATAATACATCGTTACATTTCGTGAGGGACACAACAGTAAGAAATACTGAATCAGTGGACGGAACTTAGAAGGTGCTAACCGCACGTTACAACAAAAAACTGCACCCCCCCCCCCCCCAAAAAAAAAAAAAAGAAGGAAAAATTACATAGGGTAATTTTTTTGTGTGTTTGTTTTAAAGATTAAGAGACTTTTTTTAAAAAATAGCCGTAGAAAATTTTGGTTTGTGCAGGTTAGTTATGCGGCCAGGGGGACAAAATATAGGGGTTAATCGTCATCCTAAGTCAAGTATTGAAGTAAGATTTGTTCTTTAACGTTTTAATTAGTGAAAATAGACATATGGTTTCAATTAGAAACTTGCTGCGCTTCTTCAAGAAACATTAAATTAGTATTTCTTAGAAAGCATTGTAGCGCGTGGGAAGCACAGTAGTGCGCTAAAGTGACCACTCGTGAACAGGCACAAGGCTGGTGCCATGATAAGAGGCGGAAAAAACCGCGCGGGCACGTTATCGCACCAGTAGCCTCGCTCCTACTGCAGGAGGGGTAACTTTAGCGCTCCACAGTGCTTTCCACGTGCTTCAAATCTTGGTATCTGCTGGTTTACTGTTTTTTAAAGACGCTAAGCAAGTTGAGAGTTAAGACGATTTGTTTATTTTCAATAATTAAAATGTTCATTAGCCTATTTTAGTTATTTAGCCGACTGAACGTTACGATTAGCTTCCTTTACTATGTTACCCTGTCCATATACTTCACAAGTAGAGACCGTACTAGTGTAGATTTCACGACTTTTTTTTAAACAAAAATATCAAGCTTAAGAAGAAACACTATTTGACTGTGTACACTGTGGGGGGAAAAATAGACACCCACGTTTGTCGTTCTGATTTGTGGTATTTTGTATACTTCCCCTTCCTAAAAAGCAGCAAATTCTGATTTTTCTGTTTGTTTGTTTTAGGAAGAGCACGTTTTTCGGGGAACCAACATGGATACCTTAAAGTTACTCACAGCTTAAAAACGCCGGGTGCGGCGAGTATCGAGCATCGTATAAAAAATGTGGCCTTATTGTTGTGACGCAGCCCATGAGCCGATTAGAACGACGCCGAAGAACAAATTGGAAAGCAAGAAGCGTGAACATGGTACGCCCTACGTTTTTTAAGCTATCAATGACCACGGAGGAAGATGAATGCAACTTTATGCCTTAGTTGATGCACTCTATATGATTCTGGAGGGGACGCAGTAAAACTTTTGTCTGTCTAAATAACGGGTGTGGAGGTGCACCACATTGACAACAAGATATCTCCTTGAAGGAGAGCAGGCATGCTTTTTCACCAAGTGAACCTTCGCTACAAACTCGCAAGAAGCACTCAAAATCGTGAAATGACAATAATGTACTGGTTATTCACTGTGGCATACGATTCAGTTGAATTGGGTGACGGTATAAGTACCCTGGCTTTCATATTTCTTGTGCTGAAGTTGCGGATATATTTATATGTTATATTTGAATGAGGCCACTGCCAACAAAGTTTGTAGTTGTATTTCACCCAAAAAAGTTGTCAGCATTCGGATGAACAGTAGTGGAGCATGGCTGTATTTTTCAGGAGCTGATCTCCGAAACATTTTATGCAGTGTAGATATATGAGAAGATAAAGGTGTGTTGAACATATTACGATATGGTTTGTAGAATAAACATCTGTTTTCTCTGTGGTCATTTGAACAACACAATTTATGTTCCATCAGTGAAGCCATACTACAAATGGCTAACCAAGACGAAGAAATATAACATTTTTACATCTTACGTATTATGCCTCGGCTACCAAAATAAAGATTAGTCAAGAAATTTGTAGCTTACGTGGTCAGATAGTAGATTGCTCACCATGTTGAATATGATAAATAAGATATATGCCTTGCGTCGTACCGAACCAGCCGATGCTTCCCTTCCCAGATATTTTCTTTGACTCTTTGACCCCATCCTAGTATTTTACTCCTACTTTATTGCATTCAAACGTTTTTTAATCATTTGTGAGCAGCTAAAGAGCCCTACCAATGGGTGTTGTGCGCAGTTTTGATACTGAATAGTTATCAATCCGATATCGACGCAACCATGCACGGAAGTGATCACCGTTCTCACACACTCGTATCTTTATTTAACAGCTGAGATGGCCTACACATTTAACAAAACTCCACGGCAGGCAGTCTGTTTTCTTTTTTCGTTTTTTTTTTTTTTTTTTTTTTTTGTAAGTACGCGTGCAAATGCAGTCAGACGAAAAGCTTCCACTGCCTGTTGTCTCACCTCCTTTCGGAGCCTTACATATTCGAAAGAAACCTTACATACCTCTCAGCTTCCTTGTTTATTGTGTGTGTGTGTGCTTTTTTTTTAGTCTTTGGATTATTTGTGAACGCGTCTGGCACAACATGTTAAATGCATTTGAAAATATTCATAAAACTCAACAGTTGTCAAAGTGTGGGCCTCGGCAGATCGGAATGAAACTTATTGAGTGCATAGCTTTATTTGAATTGAAGTTGCATGCGAAGAGAGCATTTCCCATAAAAACTGCTGCGCCAGGTGTATTTGTTTTTGTTTTTATAGTGTGCGTTGGTAATTTTTTAACGCATACAAAGACTGTTGCGAAGCCCTATTTCTACTCGGCACTGCCTTGTTTACATCGTTGTGCAACTCTCCTATGTAATATTTCATAAAACTGAAATCTGTTTGATTCCCGCCTTTAATTTACTGAGCATATTTCGAAAGTTTTGAATGATTCTTATCAGCTGCTAGGCTTCATTTTTCGAATGACGGTGAATTTTTGTACCTACGCCAACATGATTAATCGATTTCGAGCCCTTGTTTTGTCTAAGCTTGAGTTCTGCTCAGTCGTATAGAACCCCATTGGATCGACTCAATCAAGTATTTTGGAAAAAGTGCAGCGAGTCGTCTCGTGCATTTTGTTTCCGATAAATGGGTTGGGAGGCGAATTTATTTTGATTATGAATACTTACTTAATATGCTTGACCTGGTACCCTTGCACAAATCAAGATGAGCGCGAAGCATGACTTTTCTGTATAAGATAGTGAACGCTACTTTCGCTGCTCCTTTGCTTTATAAGTGCGATTCTTTTCAGTGTTCCTCAAAAGCGTATCGGATTTTCAATTCTTTTCTACCCGCAGAAAGTTGGTGTCCAGTCCCCGATAACACGCCTTCCGCTACTTTATAATCGCGGTAAGAGTGATTTTAGAATTGTTTCCACTCATTTTAAATTTAAGAAGAGCATTGTTGGCCGCTTGACAAACATCTGTGCTTTCTTCACCGTTGTTCTCCGTAGTTTTAGTTATTTCCTTTTATCTTTTCTAAATAACATCTTTCTTGTTTGTTTGTCTGTATCTGTTATTTTATTGTTTCTAATATCTGGGCACTAATAAGGCCTCGAGCTGTTTGTGGGCACATTAAATAGAATGAATAAATAAATATGCAACATTAACTGGGATAATTTGCGAGGAAAACCAATGAGGTTATAACGAAGCAATTTTTGTCAAAGTAGTGTATTTTAAGTGACTCATAAATATTCTAGATGCAGATTAAGAGGACGCATAAGTCAATTGCTACTTTCAACAAAAACAAAACTTGATGGTGATATGTTAATACGAAGACAGTAATATGGACGAGCGATATAACGGATCATCCGTCAACAAAAAATTATTAAAGCAGTCTTAGTGAGAGCAATACAGGTGGTGAGGTAGTTTGTAGAAATTTTGTAGGCACCCTCTCTAACGTCATGCGTAGATTTTTCATATGTCTAAGCGTTGTCTAGCACGCCCGGGAACCCCAGATATGACGACTCAACGGAACATCGATTGCTGCGTATATCACTGATATTTTTTTTTTTTTTAAGAATTGGAAGGATTGTAGGTTTTTCTGCAATACAAAGGTCGCTGTCCGTCCTGTGCTCAATTTTAAGTGCTTGTAATACCATGCGATGCATATGAATCATTGAACCCTTGAAGGAAACTCATAACTCGGTTTTATAACGTATCCGCTAAGATTTTGTACAGAGATGGCCAAAGATGAGGCTTTATATCTACTTTTTTTTCAGACAGCAAACGTTCCCGATTAAATAGTGAAACAATAGGTGCCAGATTTTGCTACCTATCGCGTCCCTCTGCTAACAAAAGACATCTGATTGGCACAACAGCTGACAGACGATGGCAGGGGGCGCATACACTGATCTCCGATAGTGAAATGCGCACTGCCTTTTTTCGGTGCAGTGCATGCATTCTTTGTTATTATTACTAATAGAGCACACTGAATGTACACAAAATCTACCATGGAAAATATCTTGTCGAACAATTTCGGCTTTATGCCAACAGCTGCTTAAATCTATCTGCCTTCACCCGAATGCGTTTCATATTTTAAAGGCTGCCGTAGGTAGCGAATTCACCTTCTATATTTTTTACTCTTTACTCAAGTAAGGTAATTCTTTGAAAAGGTGGCACACAAAGTGTGCCTTCATCGTACATCAAACACGTAGTCAGGGGGGGGGGGCGCCCATGGGCCCCCCCCCCCCGAAATTTTCCATTTTGCTGGAACCTCCTCTCCCCCCTCCCCTTCATACAGAATTTTGTCATGAGCGCCCCCCCCCCCCCCCACGAAACAATGTCCTGGCTACGTGCCAGTCGTGCATGTTTGTTTGTAATCTCAGCTTCATATCCTAGGTATAGGATTTAGGGGGTTCCTTCAAACGGACAACTCTCCAATTGACTAACGCGGTAGATAACGGCCTACATTTTCCCCTTTCACAAATTTCAAATAAGGCGATAAAATTGGAATGGTATGTCTCCAAGAGATGAACACTCACGAGGAATATCTCCTTTTATGGTGGCGCAAATTTGCAAGGCGAATATCAGCAGCAAATGCATATTCGGGCACGTGAAATTCGTTTGTAAAAATTTCACAAGTGAATCAAAACGCTTGTTCGAAAACAAGCCGTCACTTTCTCCCCAACAAAGAGCCAGCGGGGTTAAATGCGCATGCTTGCTGCGTATTTTCGATCTTAAAAAGTCAAAGGAATTACTTTTTTTTTAATTCGTCGATTTTTTAAAATGTGGTGTTGCATAGTCGATTGACTTTTCAACGCAGCGGTCATTGTTCATTGTTACGTCAAAGAAACCATCGAAGGGGATATAGTGACCATCTGGGTTTGGTTCATTTGTTTCGTTCAAAAGATGTACCGTTAGTTTCGAAATTTTATATTTCAGAGGTCAGTTAGTGGTAGTCTCGTGACGTTTAGTTCAATTTGGTGATTTGCTCTTGGCGCTCTTAATCTGCTCCTGGTTTAGCGGTGGTCAGTTTGCTACAAACATGCATTTTCTTGCTCCGTTCAAGTGTTACGCGCGCTGTATCCGGCTAATCAAAGAAAATCCAAGCAGCTATAGAATGGGACGCCGCAATCTTGGCCCTGCAGGCAATCGGTCCTTTTCTCCACCAGCACTTCTACGGCCAACCGCAAGGTGCATGGAAAATTGTGACGATATAACAACATACGAGGGGTTTTCAACAGGTTTTGTCACCTTTGGCTGTACCTTTGGCTGTAACTGAACTGCAACAAAGCAAAGACCGGATTGTAGCTTAGATATATTGAATCTGAGCCATATTCTAACCACTATTTTGTGTGGCGGTTAAACGCCGGTTCTGTCACTTGCGTTTGCTTAAGAACTTCTTGCGATCTCTTACTGCGAGAAAACTCACTGTCGCGCTGTAGCTTCATCTATGAGGTGATCCTGGAACCGGAATTTCACTAGAGCAAAGGTTTTGCGGAATTCGCAAGAAAAAAAAATGCACTTACTAGCTATAAGATATGCATGTTTATAGCTTTGTCAACAAATTCCAAGCCAATAAAAGAAAGAATGATGCACACACACAAAAAAAGGAAAGATACGGCAATGGGACCCTAAAACAAAATATATATTTTCGCTATTTGGATTATGGAACTGGAAACCTTATTCGATTCGATCTCGATTTCAGAGTTTCAGAAATTATTCCTCTGTCTGCAATCTGCATTTCAGGTTTCCGAAAACAATCCCAGTTAGATTTTCAGTTTCACAATCCAGATAACGAAAAGCCATATTAGGCTCTGGGGTAGAGTAGTGTATTCTGTATTGAGTAGCAGTAAAACTCTTTTTCATCCCTGCGGTCGCTCCTAAGGCAACGAAACAGGCGAATTTGTAAATAAATAGCAACATAAAAATTCGTTATTAACAGATGGCGCTAGTAAGTTCTTTCATCGTTTGATATTCAAAGTCAAGCGGTCGTAAACCGTGGCAATTGTGCGAACCAGCTTTAAGGTTAAACTGGAAAACGCGCTTCAGCGATAACTGTGCTGAGTTTAACGGTGTGTCCCACGGCGGTTCTGCCAAAATGGCGAAGTGTTACTTTTTAAATAGACTGCAGCGGCATGACAAGCGCTGATTAATAACTGAAATTACAATCTCCGTGAAACGCACGCTGCAAAATTATTTCTACAAAAATTATTTCCCTATGCAAACTATTTCCCAAGACAAATTTGTGCTCCGCAAGTTTGTCTGCCTCTTGAGCAGGGGTTGCGGTGACGTCAGAACGACGTTGAGTTTTGATTGGCTTAGACTAAAAAAATGGAGAACAGACATCAACGCTCGGCGCATTGAGGTCGACCCAATATACGAGTATTTTAATAAGCCGATAAGAGATGGGTGTTCTGACATTATCGCAACCCCTGCGCGATAAGCAGACGAACTTGCGCTCCGGATTTTTAACACACAGTACCATCTTGGACGTTTTCTTTCTTAAAATTTTGCTTTAAGTAACTTTAATTATAACAACAGTGCGAGCTGCTCAACTCAATTTGTTGTAAACAAATGGCTAAACACATGCGTGCTCACTTGAACCTGTTATGTTAATTTTAAGAAATACATAGTGGTTTTCAGTCATTACAAACGAGGACTTAATCTTAATCTTTTAAGAAAAAAATTATAATATCCCTGCTTCACGAACCGCGTGCGTATAATCAGGGGAGAAATTACCAAGACGAGAAAAACATTTGTAGAGCTTCACCGTACAAATAATTTCCTACATACATTTGGCACCATAATTGCGACAATCTTTATTTCCGTTTGTAAAATATTACGGTGCCTGGAATGTGTCTCCCACTGATGTTTTAAGTGTCGTTTTCCACCCATTTATTGCAAGAGCGACAAATCACGAAACCAAAGCCGGAGCGTCATGCTGTCGGATGTCACGATCCTGGAGGTTAAACGTAAAAGTCCTGAGAAAAAGAAGAAAAAACGCACGAGAAAACGGGAGTGTCGCCGTCGTCGCGGCGTCCTAGCTCCTTGCTGCCCAAGCTTCCGTGGGCGGTCAGGATGGACAGTGACCTGCAGGAGAACAGGGGGCTGCGACATCCACCGCCAGGATCGTGGTCAGCAACAGCACGAAAATTTTAGGGCCTCATAAGGCGGAAATCGAGAAACCCCTTTTTTGAACAAGGCAAACACACCGGTTGAAGACGCGTTCCAGGCCCCGTAAATTTACTAGCATTCCATTTATTTTTGTCATGTTGAAGTAAGCCACGCTTTATTTCTGTAAAGGCCCGTTCATAAAGTTGAGTAGACTGCGTTGCGCTGCGGTGCGTCATGCTGCACAGCGCCTCCACATCGGCTCGTCAAAAGGGTCGCCATGGCAACATCTCGGCGCGAAGTCATAACGTAGTCAGACGCAGTGAAACTCAACTTTGTCAACGGGCCTTTAGAAGGAACAGCACACAGCGTCCTCAGGTTTAGTAAGGCCTACAGCTCATTGCTAGACAAAATCGTATGGATATAACGTTTTTAAACTCTACCGCATTTCATCGAAATCTTTGTTTCCTGACTAAAGGTTTCATCGCAAAGAAGAAGAAATATTTTACATTGTACTTGAAAACGTCACCACCACTGGACAGCAATGGTGCGCGTGGCATGCGTGGCAGGCCCACTGTAGGTCGCCATTGACGAGCAGAATGTTAACCTTCTGTTTCATATGTATTTCAAAGGCCTTCAGAGAGTCAGCTCGCGATTCGGACTCTTTCTGTGCGTCCCTGCATGCGCTTTTTTGCGAAATCAATTATCCCTCCAATTTGAAAACCTTTGAAAATACCCCCAGCGCATTAGTAAAGACATTAGATCACATCTTTGTTTCTCGCTACCGCAAATAGCGGGTGTTAAAAAAAAAACGCGGGAATTACCAACTCTTCCTAGAAATTCTTAACTTCACCTGGCAATTCTAGGGTGCTGATTGGACCCGATTTCTGCGTCAGCGTTCGGCTGAGACTCGTGTGCTCGCTGATTGGAACACGAGTCTCAGCCGAACGCTGTCTCAGTACATGTGTCCAATCCACGCCTCGCATGTTCCTCTTCGGGTGACGTGAAGAATTCAGCCCTGCAGTCTCGTTATCTTGGAAGCGCTACAATCAAAAGTACTAAAACACTGAACGAAAAACAAAATTTAGCTTGCAGGACGAGTGTGTCCCATCGCGCATTCTAACGCCAAAACGAGCACGTTACAAGCCGTGGATTAAGCGAGAATTGCGTGTATTATTCAACAAGAAAAGAAGAGCTTGCTTCAAATACCGTAAAACCCGGCTTTCGAGTGACCTTGCTAACTGAAAGAATTAGCAGGAGGAGTCCGGGACAGGTTGGAATAGGCTAAAGCGGCGTTTTTTCTTAAATAAAAAGATAACTTTAGGCGTTCCTCAAAAGAATTTTGGAACTATTTCCGAACAAACGGCAAACATGATTCTTCCGTCCCGACCCTAAAGCATGACGATACTCTAGTTTACAGTGTTGACGAAAAAGAATAGAATTTTAATTTCCATTTTTGGTCGGTTTTTACACCTTCGCACACGAGGGCTACAGATTTTAACGCTCCACCGGCAACCAACATTATGCCTGAAGTTGAATTTGCTGTTTCTGGAATTCTTCATCAATTGCATAACTTGAATATTGCCAAATCGACAGGTCCGGATGACATTCCTAGGCTTATTCTGAAATCTTGTTCAAGTTCATTGTGCCTATATTTCGTCGTATTGTTTAAGAAGCCATCGCGTGGATCTTCGCTTCCTTTTTTCTGGAAGCTTGCACGAATAATGGCAATGCATAAACGTGGTCCTAGAGCCAGTGTCCAAAACTACCGATCGATATCTTTAACAAGTATTTCATGAAAGGTAGAAAAAAATATTCTATATAGTAATATTATGACCCATCTTACCGCATCTAACCTTTTACATTGATCGCAACACATATTCCAGCAGGGATCTTCTTGTAGTACGCAACTGGCTAAATTTTTATGACCTTCATTCATCATCATTTATTTACTGATACTGTCAGCCCATTGGGCTATTACAGGAGTGAGAATACAAAAATAAAGAGAAGAAAGTAACCACTATACAAAGAGTGATTAACCAACACAGTAAATTGCACAAAACCGCTTCATACACTTAAAAGCGCACAAGAAAAAGTCACAAAACTGAAACCTTTCTTTGGCAATTGACAAGCGACGGAGTATTGATTGTATATTTCTTGATGTCAGTAAGTCTTTTATTGTCATTCCTCGTGATTCTTTAATTTCTAAACTGCTCGATTTTAAGCTTGATCACAAATTTTGTCACCGGATTCGTGAGTATTTGTCGTTGAGAAAACAGTATGTGGTTTTAAACGGCTTCCAATCCTAAATGGCTTCAAGTGTGCCGCGCAGGGCTCGGTTCTAGGACCGCTTTTATTTCTTATTTGACGCTTGTTCCACCATTCGAATGTTTACGGATGATTTTGTTATCTACAGAAAGAATGATAATGCGCCTGATAGTGTGAGTTTGCAAAAGGACTTGGTCTACAATAAGTCATGGTGTCACTCA